ACGCTGTTTGTGTGAACTTTCTCCTTGAATATGAAGGGAATATAGATAAGTTGGTGCATGGCCTGGTAGTCTCAATTGTGGACCAAGTTTCATGATTGCCAGGCCTACTATCAATTTCACCTTGACAATGACAAATGGAAAAAGCATATAGGTATCAGTTCCCTGTGATTTTTCTATAAATATTTTCATGGTAAGTGTTCTGATGAGCTTTCCTCTTTGATACCACAACTTTATGAATTTAAGCCCAGTACTAGATTTTGTGGTAAGGTCTCATCATTTTACATTTGAAATGGCTAGATGTTACCATAAATGATTGCTAATAGTTTCTTCTCTTGCATTTCTTGTTGTTCCAGCTTCTTGCTTCCCAGTCAACTTTCATCTTCAAAAATTTCAAAGGCAATGTCAATTGTAATCTTCTGCCTTCTTAATTCCCGTTTTTTATTGTTGTCTCTCTTTAATAATGATTATTTGTCTAATATTCTCTCACACTCAGTAACCCTCTTACGTCTTAGTGGCTTTATTGCCTTACTTGGGGTGAAATGATTTAAAAAAAAAGAATAATAACTAAAAATTAAGAGCTGACTAAGGGAGGTAACTTTTGAGAAGCAAAGGGAGGTAAATGCTAAGCGTCTAAGGTAGGTTGGGGACTTTCATTGTACATGTTCGTTTTTTTTTTTTTAATTTTATTTTAGTCGGTTTTAATTTATTTTTTTTAACGAAGTCCTTGTAAAATGGCCGCAAAGGAAGAAGATGAGTTCTACAACAATGCCAAAAATTACTGGGAAACAATTCCACCTACTATCGATGGTATGCTTGGTGGATTTCCTGAAGTTTCTACTGTTGATGTTAAAACCTCACTGGTCTTTCTACGGCCTTTTTTAACGGTTTGTCAAACTTTATTTTACTTTACTTTTTTTTTTTTAAGTGCTACCAAAAAAGCAGTTTTGCTTTTTCTTAACTAAGCTACCTTTTTGTTGTTGTTAATATTAGATATGTTTTATTGACTTTTAAAAGACTTAAATTTTACGTATATTTTTTTTTTTTAATTATGAAAGCAAACTATTTTTACAGAGTTTTTTTTAGAGCTGTTTAGTGTTTGTTAATAATAAAAAGAAAAGTTCATATTCTTCTAAACTAAAAGCAGCTAATTGTTTTTGTTTTAATTAAAATTCTAGATTTTATTTATATGCATTTTTTAAGATGATTTTTTTTATTTTTATTATCAAAATTACCGGCGAATTTGTAATAGACTTTTTATTTTTTAAAATTTGTTTTTAATAGTCTCAGCAGTGTTTATTATCTCCGCTTATTTTTTTAAATTAACACGAGGTTATCAATGGTGGGAAAAAAAAGCCGGCAAAATAACACAAATCTTTCTTTTGCATTTTACCCCCAATGATCAATTCTGCTACACAATGACGCAATTTAATCTTTTTTTTTTTAAATGATCTGGACACTTAACGGTTTTATTACGTTATTTTCTTTAACTAAAACTTCATTACAATTTTTAAAAAAATATATTTATTTACATTAGTACACTACACTACAGTAATAAAATTCAAATATGTTTTTTTTTTAAAAAAAAAAAACGATACAATTAAAAAAAAAATACTTTCACTTTTAAAAAGAACCTCAGACACTTGAACTAAAAAAAAATCTGAATTTAAAATGTAAAAAAATAAATTAGTTTTTTTTTTTTTTGCTTTACTTTTTTAATGTGATAAATGGACATTTGACAAGGGAAAAGTAAACGTTTTCTTGTTTTTGTTATGGGATCATCTTGCTTGATATATTACTTTTAAAATTGGTTTAAAAAATTATTACAAAAAAATCATGTTGTCACTTGTTCTGGTTTTACGAAATTACGACGGTTAATTAATTATTTTTCAGTAAATTTTGTATTTTATTTTATTGCAATTTGTAATTTGATTTTTAAAATAAAAAAAAATCATATAACACTACTAACAGGACATGAAAAAAATAGCTGTTTTTTACTTTAAGGGTTTTCATTTTTATTCAGATTTTGAAATCTTATTGCAATTTTACTTATTGGCAAACTTTAATTAGAAAAAACAACACGTCGCTTACCTTTTTGTTTTAAAAAATAAAAAAAAAAAGGGGGGGAAAGCAATTGAGTTGTACAATGAATGAGGTACCGCGACTACATTTCTCAGTGTTGGTTGACTAATTGAGTTTAATAACAATTTCAAACCACGAGCATCTCTAAAAGAAGAAGAATAACTAAATTTTATAAAAGTTACTATCGGGATCTAGTGTGCTATGTAAATTCACTGTAAAGTGATTGCCCCCCCCCCCCTTAGCAAAAAAAAAAAAAAAGATGCTTATACAATAATGTCGATTTCAGAAAAAAATGTAAAAAAATTTTTTTTTTTTTTTTTAAATTCGTAATCTAAAATATCCATACTTAATTTATGGTAATATATGGGGAGAAAAAAGATCTCTTGATTACGAATTCCAATATTTTTATTTTACGTAAGAAAGAAATTACATTTGTTTTGGCTTCCATAGACTAGAGAAAAATCAAATGAAGGTACATCGCAAACTGGACCCCTTTAGTAACCTTTATGAAATTTAATTTAAAAAATGATTCGAACCGATTATCAAAGTTATGTTTATTTGACCATTAGTCGTTTTGGGGACTTGATATTCTTTCTTTCAATAACGAAAAAAAAAACAATACAACCCTTTAAAAAATGTAGTGTTTTAAAAAGCACGTGTCGTCTGGCGAATAACTAAAAAAAATCTTTTCGGTATTTAACAGTCATTTCCTGTTTTTAGTTTAATATTTTCTGCTCATTACCCCTACAGTTTGATTATTAGACATTCTGATTATTCATAATTAGTGTATTTCCCTTAAATCTTTTCCCATATACCTAAAAGTAAAAACAATATTCTTTTTTTCTTCCGTGTATTGTCGGATTTTTAGCGCTACCAATGATCACAAACACCAATTTATCTCCCTTACAGAAATGTTCATTTTACAGCGGGTATGCCCGATTTTTTTTTTTTAATCCTCTAGATTTTGTTTCTTAACAATTACCATGTTTTCGTTTCTTAACATCAGAACAACTACCATGAAAGTATAAAGGCACTGGGAAGCTACGTTACAGCCGTGGGAAAGTGACTGAAATAGAGTTGCCAGGCCAGGACCAATAATATTCCAGATTCTTATTAGATTTTATCATGAATCTTTAAATTGCAGGAGGACAGACCAGATGTGGCAGTCATAAACAAAGCATAAACGAATGGTAGACTTATAGATATGTAAGATAAATTTTTGCAAGAAAAATTGTCTAGCATGCCACAGTAAACCTGTGTCAATCTATATCACACACACACACAACAACAAGCATTCACGGTGATTTGATCCAAATCACCACTAATGAAATGATGCAGACTTCACCACATTTCATTTGTGACCAATGATCAAGATTGCAAGAATTATTCTTCATGTGCAGACGATATGATTGGTTGGCACTGACGAATCAGCGGATTTTTGGGGAGACTTAAAAGCTTCTGGGATCCGTTTCTCCCAAAAGTGTACGGACTACATGAAAATAGAGCGACAAAAATTGTCGCATTGCTTTGATTTGTAAATTGTCTATAATAATGTAGTGGTGATTTATTAACCAATGATTGCTTGTCGTCAGATGTGATTTGTATTTGTGTGTGTGTGTGCGATGTAGATCAGCACAAACCAACCTTCCTAACAGCAGACCTAGCATTTGATTTAATATAATCCTTCCACTTTTTATCAGTGGAAAATGTTAATCTAAAATGGTGCAATGAGTCCATTTCCTGAAGGTTAGCATCAGCCAAGCTGATAGTAGGCAGAAAGAATTCTCTCAAATGAACAACAGAAGTTTTCCTTTTGGAGGTATTAAAATTGACAACCTATTTCCTGACCCAGTTAACAGATTGTAGGTAATTTTGAGATCAGCTGCCAATTTGACCTCATGAAACCAATCTACAGACTGAAAAGAAATATTGAAAAACATGGACTTTTATTGTTTATTTATTCACTACTTGTAAATCTTTACCAGTGGAATTTTACTGAAAATTAGGCAACTTCTATCTCAGTCAGTTATGTGCCATGCATGATACACACTTAGGCGATCATGTATCTTACGATACATGACTAACAAGACAGATTATTTTTTTCCCTACAGTAGCTTGCCATTTCTTTCTGCAGTAGACCAGTTGCCATCCAAGGCTATAGAACCCGGTCTGTCCTGCTATTTACCCATAGCTGGGTGGGGGGGATTCATATCTTTCCCAAGGAAATTAGCACATAAGTGAATGCCATGGATTCGACTGGAATTTGAACTCAGCTCTCCGGTTCCTCACTCTGAGCCACTATCCATTACTCCACCATGACTCCTCTATTTCTGTCTACTGTGTATGATAATGGAATGAAATAATCCTGTCTTCCAAAATTATTAAGTGACCACCATTTATCAACTAAATAAACTTCAATTTAAAATGTCAGTCATAAACTAATCCAAAAATTAACCATTTATAGCCCTAAGTTTACCATTTAATGCAATCTACACTTGTCTGCCATTCTGCATTCCAATGACAGTTGATTTAAACAGTTTACTCCTGGTCTCATTAGAGTTTTCTTTCTCTAAGATGGACTGACTTCTCTAGGAAGCTATGGGTTAATTAGTAGGTCTTGTATCAGTAAATCGTTATCTACCAAAAAGATTCTTCTGATCATTTTTAGATCAGAAGAATCTTTTTGATAGATAGTCATTTCCTGGTTTTGAATAACTGGCAAAAGATTGATAAGCTATAAAAACCAAATCAGTCTACATTTTGACTCTTTGTATAGAAGTGTGATTGAATTAAATAAAGACAATCACGGTCATTATAGATGTCTGGAAAGAACCAATCGGACAGTTTATCACCTAAAGGAAAGGTAGATACCTTTTTGTTTTGGGGCGGTGACGATCTGTACAGTTTGAGATGAGGTCTGCATGCCATTTCCCACCTTCTTCCTTTTTCTAAGTTGTAGGATTCAGCCCAAACCCACTTTCTACTACTACTACTACTACTTGATATATATTTTTCTCTCTTTTTTTCTCTCTCTCTTTTTTCTCTCTTTTTCTTCTTTTTCTCTCTTTTCTTCTTTTTCTCTCTTCTTCTCTTTTTCTCTCTTTTTTCTTCTTCTTTTCTCTCTTTTCTTTTTTTTTTCCTCTCTTTTCTTCTTTTCTTTTTCTCTTCTCTTTTCTTCTTTTTCTCTCTTTTCTCTTTCTCTTTTCTCTCTTTTTCTTTTCTCCTTTTTCTCTTTTTCTCTTTTCTCTCTTTTCTCTCTTTTCTCTTTCTCTTTTTCTTTTTTCTTTTCTTTTCTCTTTTCTCTTTTCTTTTTTTTCTTTATTCTTTTTTTTCTTTTCTTTTTTTTTTTTTTTTCTTATTTTTTTTTTTTTTTTTTTTTTCATCTTTTTTTTTTTTTCATTTTTTTTATGGGTGATTGAACAGTCCGTTTTATTTCTTCCCATGAGTTACTCTGTGTGTCAGCATTAAAGGTTAGAGATGAAAGAAGGGTCAGGCAGAAAATTATGCGGGTAGGGCAGTGATAAAAATGGTATTTAGAATGAGAAAAAATAAGAGAAAATGTCCCTGGTTTTCGGTGAGGGGAATAGTTTATCTCAAAATACCCACTCTTTTTCTTTTTTTTTTATATATATTTTTTTTTTTTTTTTAAATGATTAATTTTTCAATTCTTATATATTGATGTTGTAAAAATAAATCTTCATACCATCTTTTGTTTATGAGTATAGAGATAAAAAAAAAAGTTAATTCTCAACCTCTATCTACACATACGCACAGTTTATAATGGTAATGATAATAGCAATTTCATTATAAGGAAACATTTGGTATTCATTGACCAAGCAGCTAATGCTACTTGAGTTACAATTCTTCACTGGGCTGGGATGAGAGTATAGTATCTGTTCTCATCTCTAATAGTAATGGTAATATTGGCTGTTTCTTTATAAGGAAACATTTGGCATTCATCAGTTGTCAGTTGAAATTTATAAAATCTTTTACTTAAAACAATTTTTCAGGAAAACAGGTTTCTCAATTCTTGTTATTGATCTTTCACATATTGATGGGGGTTTCCTTCCTAACCTTTTGTTTGAAGTAGTGTGGAATATCAACATCTTGATTACATTATTATTTTCTCTTCAAATTGCATGTGATATCTATTTTAGTTGTTGAAAGTCATCAAGTAATGGGGTTTCTATTATCTAGTATCTTGTTTTTGTGATACTGTAGCACCAAAACAAAAACACACATATAGAAAAAACATTTCACATATATAAAATAAGTGAATGTGAAAAGTGTGAGGTTGAAAAATATTATATCAGTTGGATTTTACTTCTATGACGAAACTTGAAACTTTTTTTTTTTCCTGATTCAGTTGTGTGTTATGCATGATACATATTTAGGCATATATCTTTCGATACATGAGGCAGATTTTTTTCTCCTTTTATTTAGTTTCCAATTTCCTATTGGTTTCTTTATATATGATGCTGTGGTTTATGTTAGGCACATGTAATTCTTTTATTTTCCTCTATTTTTCCTTTTATTGCTAGCTATATCTCGTCATTTTTCTTTTAGATCTGTAGTTTTTTTTCAATTGAGACCTCTCCTTTTCTGTTTATTCTATTTTTATATGATTTACTTATCCTTAACTGATATGCTACTTGTTTAATCTTTTTCACTATAGATTTTATATAATTTCCCCACCCCACACTTGATAAAGTTTATTTAAAAAGTTATTTTTCTGCATTTACCCTTTTTTAATTAATTAAAATTATTTTTAAAGGGTTTTTACTTTATCTCATTGTTATACTGAAACATACCTATTCTATTGTTAATAGACTCTCCCACCTATAATAAGTACGAGTAATAGCAGTCGCCAAGGAGCTCAGAGAGTTGCTCAGTCAGTTGATGTCGGACATTAAAGTAGCAGCCACCACAACTAGATTGCTGCGTCATTAACTATTATAACAAGTTCCTAACGTTATTGTACGCCGAACCTTTTTAGGACCGACTTAGTGAAAAATACAAGCCTCCACTGTGAAACTACTCTATAACAGTCATGCACTTTTTAAAAGAGTTATTTTTCTATATTTCATATCCTATAAGAATCTTTTAATTTTAGTTTTTATTTTTTTATCTGATATGTTATGTGCTGTATATTGATGAGTTAATTTTACATTTTATCTGTTTAATGGCTAGTTTTTTTGTTTTTTTTTTTTTTTTGAGGGTTGTTTTTGAAATTTCCCTCTATAAAAAGACTTTATACTTTTATCTATTTTAATTTAATAAGTTAATCTATGTTTAATTTTAATCTGTTTTAGTTATAATTTAATCTATAATTATTTTTTTAATCTATATGATTCTATCTAATCCTTTATATTTTAATCCATAATTAATCTATTTAATCTTAAGTTTAATCTATATTTTACCTTTTCATAAATCTGTTTAAATGTTTTTTCCTTTATATTGTAAAATTTTCTTTTGGGCTATTATCTATTTATTTTAATTTCTTCCTTTATTTTATTATTTTTAATATTCAGGTTTTTCTTGTTTATACTAATAATGTCTTCATTTTTTGTTATATTATTAAATTCCTTTGTTCAATATTAAATTTAAATAATAATTCTAATATTAAATTCTAATTTTTCTTTCATCTACAATGTTTAAAACTCTTCCTTTTCTTAACTTCAATGATTGTATTTCCTTATGTAATTTTTCCAATTTTTTTCCTATTTGAACAAGAAGAGTTAACATTTTAAATATAGGCCATTGTTAATCTTTGACCGTTTGTAACTTCTGTCTAGACTTGTATATGTTCCTTCTTCCTATCCCCCACCTTCACTACTTTGGTGTTTCTTTTCCTTTTTTTTCTATTTCTCTCTTAAATGCTTTTTCCCTTATTTGCTGTTTCTTCCTGTTTTCCTTTTTTTTCTTCTTTCTTTCTATCCTTTTTTAATATTAAATTTAAAAAGAAAAAAGTTATGATTCATTTTTTTTAATCAAACATCTTAGTATTGACAAATTCCAGCAAATTTATCCTGAGGAGCGAAATGGCCATAAAAAATTGAGTTTCATTTTTATGTAATTCGTTTCTGTGCTCTATAATAAATATATTGAGCTCTCTTTTAATATTTTATATTAATAGGATTCACTTGGATTACTTACCCACAGATTTTTACCTAATGATTATTATTATTATTTTTATTATAAGAGATTATAATAAAAACATGTTGAAATCACTACACAAAAGCTTTAATGTTTCAATACTTTGTACTTCTTCAGGCGATGGTAAGTAACTGGTGATTAAATGATTTTTAAAAAACTTAAAAACAAAGTGTTACCTCTTTTACAAAAATTGAAGAGTGGGGGGAGACATATGGTCAGAATTAAAAATAGACTTGTATGTCTTGATTAAACTAATTAAATGTCAGATCTGCACCAAATAGAAAAGTAAGCTCAGATGGTGGAGTTATTTTTTCATGCTATGATACGCCTGAAACTCGGACAGGCCATCGTTGACAATTGCAGAAAATATTTAAGTGACAAATGTATCATGATTGTAGATACATTTGTCACTAAGAGGAAGACAACCCTTAAAAAACATGATATTTTAATGATAATGTCATTTAGAGGCCACCATAAAAAAATTTTCTGAGGCCAATTTAATTTTTTTAAATTTCATGAAATTAAGTAAGTGGATTGTGATATGTAAAAAAAAAAAAAAATTATGGTTTCTACAATTTTTTGAAAAAGAAAGAATGCAAAAATAATTTTATGTATTTATGAATAAGTGCTGAAAGTTATTAATTTCAAATGTGAATGGAATAAAGTCTAAAAATAATTAAATTAAACATTAGATTTAAAACTGAATTCAAGTTCATCTTTGAAACATTTTTGTTTCAAAACAACTCTAACAAAAAAATTAATAAAAAGAAGAAAAAGTAAAATAAAAACTAAAAAAACAATTTCTATGAAATAGGAGTTAGATATAAAACTAATTTGAAAGGAAATTGCAAAATGGCATGCAAATTAAAAAATAAGAACTTCAAATAGAAATTTAATAAGAAAGATAAAGTAAAAAAAATTTTTTTCTAGAATTAGGTTATAATTAGTTAAGTGAAACTACAAATAGTAAATGTATTCTAACATATGTAAAAAAAAAAAACAAATAAATAAATAAAATTGTTCACTACAATTTTCTGAAAAACGAACACAAAAATAATTTCCTTCATTTCTGAATAAGTCCTGAAAGTTTCATTAAAATCCACCAATTATTTGGTTTTTGCAATAATTTCCAAGTCAATGTGTTTTTTACCTGAAAAATAGGTGCAAAAACACTAACATAAATATGATTTGGATTGCTGACTTAAAAAATTACCAAAATTTCGAACATGCTAGAAAGGATTAAAAATTTAATAAAATAATCAAAAAATACTTTGGTCTTTCCTCTTAATAATACCAAACATTTTGACACTAAAAATTTGTTTTTATTAAGTTTGGGGCCTTTTTCATTATGCTATGCTATTTTTCATTGAAAAAGTGGAGGTACATCCACAAAAGAAATACAAGATAATACATATACAAAACACAAAGAAAAATATTCATAAAGATGGACTGTTACAGGCATCCTGCATTGCCGCTCTTCTAACTGCTTTGGAGTGAGTGAGGGTGTTTCTTTGAAAATCACTGGCATTTGTTGATAGCAACAGCGAAATATAGTGAGTGAGGGTGTTTCTTTGAATATTGCCACCAATGAAACACCAGATACAGATCAGTACTGAAGAGTGTGACAAACAGACGAACTAAGTAACTAACTAAGGAAGCAACAAGCACAATTATAATAAGATTTTAAGTGTGCTTTTTTTGTATGGTGCCGATTTCTGGAGACCTACAATAGAAGAAGAAAAAAAAGGGTCATTGTCTTCCAGGCTAAAATCTGTTATATTTACTATACTAATTAAATTTCTTGTAAGGATCTGTATCTGTAGACAGGAATATATCCCTTTGCATTATGCAGTATTGGTAGATGATATGGATATGTCTCTTTGCATTATGAGGTATCAGGAATACATCCCTTTGCATCATGAAGTAGTGATTCTGTCAGGTTTTGAGTGTGTCCCTTGAGAGAATACCAAAATTGATAGAGATGGACCCAAAGTAATTCCAGAATATTTTGTTCATTCTTTGCACAGTTGCATTTATGAAAATAAGTCAATAATTGTTAAAGCTATAATGTACTTCCTAATATATACACAAAATACCTCTGACAATTTCAGTTTTCCTATTTGAATTTGGGCTTACAGTAACATCACATTGAAAGATTGGTTCCCATATGATCACCAAAGATAAGCAACATTGAACATGGTCTCTACCTAGTTGAGTGACTGCTTACGTATACCAGCTCGGATGTGCAAGTGATGTAATCAGTAATTGTTAATTGGAGAGCCGAGTTCCAATTCATGTTGGGTTCATTATATTCACTTAAGCACAAATACCCATGAGAAAGATATAAATTCACCTCTTCTCTCCTCAGGTATGGGTTGATTAGTAAGATTTGTATCACTGAAACCATTTTTATCTAAAAAGGAAAATAAATAAAATTGCATGTAAAATATTTAGATTTTGGCATTAAATAACCCATAGGAGTGTTGATATACTGCTGAACAAAAACAACCAACCAACCTATTTGAATTTCTTGATGAATCTTAATTCTTAAGTTAATGATTGAATAAGCTCCTAGGGACTTCTAAGACGATAAAATATCTGTAGAAACTCCTCTATCACAGTATATTCTTTATTATATATTAGAGCTTAACAAGTTCAACAAAATATTACAATAACAATCATAAATATGACTGCTAGTCATTATTTAAAGAAGTAAGGGGATACAAATGAAAAGATTTGAAATGGACAACTTTTTCTATTTCACTGAAATGGACATAAAAATGTTGCCTCTTCTGTCTTTCTTTCATTTTTTTTCCTGGAAAAACAAAAGATGTATAAGGCCTCTTTTCTGTTTTTTCCATGTGATCAAAATGGAATAGTCCATTATTTATGCAGTATTAGCAAGTTGTAATGTATGCCTGTTCTAACTAAGGGAGGGACAAGCAGAATTATAGTTACTAGATAATTGCCTAATTACTGGATATTACTAAGAAAGACCTTGTTAGAAATGTTCCCAGTAAGTGTCATTTAGTTGTGATTTAGGTTTCTACATCTGCACCTAGTCAGGCTTGTTATTGATATTGCTTTGGATGTGGACCCAAAGTAGGAAGAGAAAAATTGTAAGGCTAGAAAAACCATCTTGCAGAGGGTAGTGATAACTGACCTGAAATAGATGGGTCTCTCATGGGTCAAAACACAAGAAGGTTTCAGTTAAATTGGGATGATTACAGCCTGATGTCCCAGTTGGGATTTTATTTATTTATTTATTTTTTACAGTGATATTCACTCTGTACAAGGCTCGGGAGCTATGCAAGGGTTACAGAATAAGAGTTTATGCGGACATGTTAAGATTGTAGTGACAAGGGAAGCATCCTCTTCAGAGTCTGTTCCACAAAGCAGCAGTTCAGAGGAAGAAGCTGCTCAAGTGAAACTTACATCGCACATATGAAATATGAAGGGAAAGACGGTTGTTTGCTACAATGTGTGTAGCATGGTGGGTCTTAGGTTATATGAAAGTTATTACTGGTGGAATTAAGGAATGTAGTTTGTCTGAGCACTTTCCATGGAAATGGTGATAGAACTGTGAGAGGCTTGCAACGTTTCATCTGTGGAAAAAAAAAAATGATTTCTAAGGTGGGAAATATTTTGTCACTCACAAGGACACAGAAACGCTTTTGTACTTTATTGAGATTGGAAAATGGAGACTGCAGCTCCTCCCTATGGCAAAAGTTCTCCATTTTAGACCTAATCTGGCTCTTGTAAAGGTAGAGGATAGCACAAGGAGTTGGTTACATACTGAAGTGATACAAGGAGCCAACCCTTTTTCCAGCATCTTTTAATGATGGGTCATAAGCTTTACCTGAAATCTGGGTTGACTCTAAGGCCCAATAGCCTCTCAAGGGTGGGGCCTCCCTGAGGGAATATCCATTCATCATGATTGCTTATAGTTCAGAGACCAATCAGAAATGATGGCCTGTAACTAGTTTGGTTTTCGAGGCATTGAATGTAACCAGCCAGCTTACAACCCCCCACTGAGATGTTAGAGTTAAGTCAGGAGAAATGATGAGAAAATAATATTTAGTTTTACCCAGTCTCTTGGGAATGTATTCAGCTGTTTTTCTAAAATTCCATGCATTACTTGCAAAGAGTAGCAGCAGAAGTCAGTACTGCTTTTTGTGTGCTGTTCAAATTTCCAAAAATTTTGCCTAGTGTTTCATATTTCTCTAAAATCAAACAAAATAATTGGAGCTTTAACCACTAGAAAACTGGTTATTGCTGCTACATCTTGTCTGGTGTTTCTATGTATTTCGAGATTCTTGATAAAATCCAAAGAATCTGCAATGTTATCAGTCCTGAACTGGCATCTCTGTATCAGTCACTTTTGCACCACTATAATATAGCTTCCTTTTGTTGTTTCTACAAATATCTTCATGGAAATTGTTCTGATGAGCTTTCTTCTAGACTTTTATGTAGTATAAAATTTGCAGGAAGGTCTCATCATGTTACAATTAAAATGGCTATATGTAACCTTAAGTTCTATGCTAACAGTTTCTTTTCTCGTACTTCTCACTTGTTGACTCTGTTATTGTTTCTTACTTTCCAGTTAATTTTTATCTTCAAAAATTTAAATGTCAATCATTATCTTCTGTCTTCTTAATTCCCGTTCTTTTATTGTTCTCTCCCTCCTTAATAATGCTATTATTTTTCTCATATTCTCTCACACTCAGTAACCCCTTGCATCTTAGTGGCTGTATTGCCTTTCTTAGAGCAAAAGGATTAAGATGTCTTTTG